ACACACACACACACACACACACACACACACACACACACACACACACACACACACACACACACACACACACACACACACACACACACACACACACACACACACACACACACACACACACACACACACACACACACACACACACACACACACACACACACACACACACACACACACACACACACACACACACACACACACACACACACACGCAATTTAAACGCAGACTTTTGTTCTTCCATTTTACGTTGTTATTGTTTCACTGAGCGGACCCGCACATTTTTTTCAAACGCTCCCTTTTTGGTCCATCTGCGCGGTTTTGTGCGCTGTGATGATTCGGCTGTACCTTTAGTAATGAATATTAAATGTTGTGAGGAAATCTTTCCACCAATAATTCCAATAAGTAATCCAAAATGTATTCACTTCAGGTTTACGAAAGTAACTGTAATCAGATTACTCGTTTTTCAAATGTAACGCGAGCTGAATACAGTTACTTGATTTGTGTATTCTGATTACGTAACACCGTTACATGTATTCCGTTACAACCCAACCCTGGCCACACCCCACTAGGCTGGGCCGGAACACTTACAAATGTGGGCCGGTAGGATTTAGGAAAAAAATTATTCTTTTTTTTTTATAAACTTTTTTTTTTTTTGCCCACACAGCACTCCTGGTATTCCCAATGGCCAGTCCGCCCCTGAGTGTGTGTCTGTCTGGTAAGTTGGACTCCTGAGAAAGACTGCCTAATTTAATGTTAAACAACCTAAATTACAAACATAGTTATCCTATGACACGTGGCGTTGCTTTTTCACAAGCAGGGTGAGTTCAAATGTCTTATTTTTCTTACATTTAACCCTGCATGTTATTAATTTGTGTGTTTTTTTATAAAAAAAATTATATTATTGTGTGTGTACTCAGTTTAAGGCTGATCATACTTCTCATACTTCAAGTACTTCAAGGAGGTGTCTCTTCTTACGTTTTTAGGTTTTAAGGCCTATAACGTAAATGATTTAAGGTCATTAAACAGTTTAAGGCTGTTAGACTAAAGGAGATATCGCGAGTCAGTTTAAGGCTGAGGAAATTTAAGTGAGTGTTTGTCTAGCAGCAGTTTAAGGCTGTTCTAAAAAAGTCCTTGTAATAGGCCTGAATAAAGTTTAAGGCTTTATCAATGTTTATTCTGTTCTATTTACAACCGGACATTGCGTGTGGATTACGACGAGAAATGTGACATTCGTGCGTTAGATAGACGATATTCTCCTGATTGTGTTTGGTTTAAGGCCTATATCGTAAAGGGTAGAAGGCCCATTTTTAATTGTAAAACACATAGACATGTTATTATCTTAAATTACAGTGTTGGTTTGTGTTGTACTTTCCTTTTGTTACAGTAAAGATCACCCCGCCATTATTTAAACAACCCTGTGAGAGCCAAGTGGTGTATTTTCAAATGTTGTTCTTCAGGTTGGGGTTTTGGAAAATCAGTTGCCATCTTGTTTTCACCACATATTGACAAACAAACACAGGGCAATCGCCATTTCGTGAAATGCAAATTCAAAGCGCTCCTTTGTTTGTTCTTATGCAGCTGGTTTCACTCCAATGAGGCATTTTCCTGACCTCCATCTTGTGAAGAACGAATCATACTTCTTGTCACAGTTGGAACTAGAAGGCTAAATCAGATTTTGGATATTGAAGGGAAGGATTGTTGTATTTTTTAAAACTCCAAACTGAGTTTTGAAGTATTTAACCAGGCAACAGTGTATTGGCTGATTTTTGAAGTATTCCTGTTTGCAAATGTGTTTTGGTGGTTTTGTGCTGTATTGTTTAACCATATTGTAATTTTCTTCCCATTTTTAAGATATTTTTAAGGAAAATAAGCTTCTTCTTGTTAAATAGAGGTTCGTTTTGTAACAGCTATCCCTAGTGGATAGAGCTGGAAATTACAACAGCGCACTCTGCTGGTAGCACAGTATTATTACACAGATAGAGGAAACACCTCTTAACCAAGATACAAATAATTCTGAAGTTTAATTTTAAGTGTTATAAATGAACACATGCTTCATCCCCGAGATAGAATTGCAAGTAGTTTCTAATTATAAGAAATGTTACATGATAGTCTTTCAAACAAGACTGTAGAATATTCAAACACAAATGTATTGAAGCTAACACAAGTTAAGACATTTGCATAATTCCATACACTTCAGTACACACTAGATTTAGATTTTCACAAGGTTTCTATTTTTATATTTCAAATTCAAAACCATACACTGTACAATTTTTATTTTTTAACTTTTCTGATTTTTAAATTTGCATCATTTTTAATTATTAATTTACATTATGATTTGTTTTACAAAACTTAAATCATACAACGTTATGGGTCTTCCATGTCCTGTTCAGAATAGGGTAATCATTGCAATATTAATTGAGCATGTTTTGCTCAAAGGAGGGAGTGTCATGATTATACAGATATATTGATTTCGGGGACATTGTAGCTAATAAATAAAAACATGTTACAGATATATTGATTTCAGTGACGTTGTAGTTAATAAATAATAACATGTAGTTAACAATAGGTCTCATAACGACACAAGGTATGCCAAAGCTTGGGCCTTCTCCAAGGAGGGAGTGGTCCAGTTTTAGATATTAGACGAATAGAAGTGATGAACATGTCAGAGCTCTGAGTAATATTATCCAAGTTTTGTCTACACAGGCTAGGAAAGCAACAGAGATACCAGACGAGACACCAGAAGAGACTCCTGTTCGGCCAGGTGATTGGGTGAGGGTGAAAGTTCACAAAAGACAGTGAGCTGATCCCCGGTGGACGGAACAGTGAGAAGTTGTAACGAACTTCACACGCGCTCTGGTTTAAAGGTAAAGAAAAAGGAGCAAATTGACACCACCTCACACATTGTCACCCTTCACTGGCAACTTCCAGAACATTATTGGAAGTTAGGACTGATTTGGCAGAGCTGGAACAAAACAATAAATAGAAATAAGATTTAGATAGAAACAGCTCAAAAGACGAATTGTCTTTAGATTTTTATAGATAGTACACTAAAGTGAAAACCTATTTTTTGTTTTACATCTGAAAAAGAGTCCAATTTTTGTATACGTTATTTTTGTACTCATCATTTAAATTCTGTAACTGACACAACCATGGATAAAATAGAGATTATGTCAAGAACAAGGCCAAAGCAATTGTGGGGTCCCCTAGGGATAAGAGTCAGAATAGCATTGTTGATTGTGTTCATTACACTTGGCACCTTTCTGGTTGGATGGTGAGTACAATATCAAGTAAGACATGGATCCATTAGTCCACTCATAGAGAATGCCCACATCACTAACAAAACTCCAGCTCTGTTTCAGAGACGTTCACTTATCCCCAGAGCCAAAAGATCAGCTGAGCAACAAGAGGAGGAGTTAGAAATACTCGGTCCCAAAGGTGAGGCGGTTATAATCAAGATGATTCACCCCCCTATATGCAGTTCTTGTATCAAATGATGAGATGGGTTTAAGTGATCGGGATATGTAAGTGATGGGGATTTACAGATTAGGGGAATCTCCAAATACACTGGATCCATGTTTTAGTCTGTGCCAGAAACACCCCTGTTAAGTTTATGGACAACCGACCGGTGACCTGAGCACAATTATTGAAAATGATTACAGTAGAAACAGGCTACTAACCCACAAGTACAGCTGTGTACGTACAAACTCTATGAACACAATTACCCAGCAGATTGTGGCGACATTGCAGATATGTCCAGTCACAAAAGTTACTAATGTTCTAAATAACAGTGAGATTTAAAATGATGGTGAACATATGGGGACGTTCTTTTATAGTGTGTGACATATGTGGTGCTTGAAACATGTAGGTATTTCAATTTATAGAAGAAGATGTTTTCCTGAAAGAGTTATTTGGAGTAGCCATGTTACAGTGGGTGAAAACAAAGTTTAGGGAATTGGTAAAATTATTAGGAGACATTAATTGTGTTTAAGATGGCCTTTAACATCTAAGACAGATAGTATGATTAGAAAATAGAGTGGAAAAGATGGATTATTTAAGCAGTGTGTTAGGATTTTCTAGGTCGAGAGAGTAGATAGAGAGAGAGAGATGCGAAGAGAGAGAGAGAGGAGAGAGAGAGAGAGAGAGAGAGAGCGAGAGAGAGGCTATCTCTAGCTCTCTATCTCTCTCTCTCTCTCTCTCTCTCTCTCTCTCTCTCTCTCTCTCTCTCTCTCTCTCTCTCTCTCTCTCTCTCTCTATCAGAAGCTACGACCCCATTTCAAAGCAGGCAAAAACCTCACCAAAGGAGACTCTCCTCCTCCATCGAACAGACAGAGAACCAGAGCTGAACCAATAACGACGAGACTGCACAGAACCATCTCCACCTGAAGCATCCAGAACCAAAACCAGCTGACATAAAGAGGCATACTCTCATCAGTCCCTCAGACCAGGACATGAAGTTCCAAGCTGAGCCATGATATCTGGCACAAGAGGCAGAGTGTGGTAATGAGAGCGGAATACGCCCTCAATGCAACAGCAAAGAGACTGTGAAGGAGGAGATGAAATGCAAAGCAGTTGGGCCACTGGAAAGAGTTACAGTGGAAGGATTCAAGAGCGGATGGACTGAGGAGAAGACAGGACTGAGGAGAAGACAGGCCGGAGGAGATGACAGGCCGGAGGAGTTGGCATGGTCCAGCAGAACGTGAGGGGGTCATGGCTTGACAACCACACTCAAAAAAACGATTCAAGCCCTTCTTAGACTTGACACATTAATAATTGTTTCACTTTACTTAAATATTTTTATTTAAGAAATAAACCTAAGTATAGTTCATTAGTGTAACACAAATTACATTAATCAATTCACTTATTAAATGTATTTAAGACAGAGCAACTCAAAATGAATTGTTTTCATTTGGGGACCGCCCCTTTGCACATCACCTTTGCGCATGCACAAAATCCGTTCTGTCATTTGCCGCCTTTTGTCTAACACTGACTGTGGTGACTGGGGAAACTGACGGTGGAAAGTCTATTATTTGGTAAGTATTTGTTTTTTCTAGTAGTTTAGAATGTTCCCTGTTTCCAAGTAGGCCTAATGCCTTTTCATTATATCGACAAGAATATTTGAAACCACCGTGTTATATTTTGCTCCGTTTTTAGTTGGGTCTAAACAGCAAGCTAGCTAGCTTGCTAGATATGGTTAGCATTGAATACTGGATAGTAGAGATCATTAGATTATATTAAATTAGATGTCACGTTATTGTCATTGAACACAGTACACCGAAATTCAGTTTAAATTCAACCAAAAAATGCAAAGAGTAATTCAAGTGCACGAGGTAAAGCAGCAAGCTAGCTAGCTGGATAACTGGTTTGTTAGCTAGCTTGCTAGATACGGTTAGCATTGAATACTGGATAATGGAGATCATTAGATTATATTACATTCGATTTAACGTTATTGTCATTGAACACAGTACACCGAAATTCAGTTTAAATTCAACCAAAAATGCAAAGAGTAATTCAAGTGAATGAGGTAACAGTATGAGGCAGAGCCTGCATGCAGCCCAGTAAGCGCCGCCATTTTCTATCATAAAGCTCAGCAGGTCTGTCCATCTCTCTCCTGGCCTTAGTGCAGGCAGAGGAGGACAGGCGGAGCCACTCGTTTCTGTAGGAGTTCAGTTGAGTTTAGTTTTTTACTGCCAAATATTTAATATAAATAATGAGATAATATATATATGTGAATCTTGTATGGGTTACCTCACTCACAAGCAGGCACCCAGAGTTGTGCAGAAACGTAGGCCTGCTTTATAAAACATGTCTACTAGACTCTTAATTTTAAAGTGTGATCTGTTATCATTTTTTTTTTGGGTTGTGCAATCTTAGGCAATTATGTGTTGTCTGTGAAAATTCAAATATATAAGCATTTTAATCACACCTCTAATATATTTATGTTGTCTTTTGCAGTTTGATCAGCATTAACAAGCATCTTGGGGCAACCTCTTATTTATGGTAAGTACACGGCTACTTTCACATTACTTGCATAAGCTGATCTGTGACATTGTCAGTTGTTCAGTGTCAATTGCTAATTCTCTTTTTTCTCTTTTTCAGGTTATGCATGTGGCAGTGCAAACACTGCAGTTTGGAACTAGCTAGCAGGTATTTGTTGTTAAAACATTTCCGGCAGACACATGCACATTTAAGGGGCAGTTGTCGCTATCCATGTCCATATACTGATTGCCCATGTTCGTTTGACACATGGAGTAAACTTTTAAATCACACATACAAAACTCATGCTAAACAGCTAACACCAAAGCCAGTAGAATTACCTACATTTAAGTGTCATGTGTGCTCACGTAGAGACTTAACAGAAAAAGATTTCTTCCAACATATTAATGGACATCTCAGGCATAATGAAACTGTACCATGTATGTTTCTAGGATGCACATTTAAAACTAACATTTACAGTACATTCAACACACACAAAAATAGGAAACACAGACAACATTCACTTAAAGACTTTATAGCCAATGTTGTCAGTACAAGTGGTGAGTTGGATCAGTCACACAGTTCTGCAGTTGGTCCAACGGAGTCTGTCGATATAGACCAGGAATATGAAACACTAAGTTGTGGTGATGCTTCAGAAATACACCTTCCAAATTTAATCGAAGAAAAAATTGCATGCATTTTATTGAAGTTGGAAAATATTGTTCACATTCCAAAGACAGTTATTGATGAAGTCCTTTCTGAACTTCACTACATATTAAGTACATCATCTTTGCCTGTCACTAGAGCTATTGTTTCTGATGTATTACAGAGCCATAAACTACAGGTTGAAGATTCAGTAGTTGGTGAGCTTTCCACTGCTCTATGCAATTCTAGTCCATTGGCCACAGCTATTGCAAAGGATGGCCCTCTTGCTACAGCATATAAACGTACACAGTACTATACATCTCATTTTGGTGTTTTAGAGCCGGTTGAGTACATACTAGATGCCCAGAGGAATAGGACATTTCAATATATCCCTCTGTTAAAGTCTTTGCAACATTTGCTCTCTCATAAAGGTGTCCTTGAACATATTGAAACGCAACAGCGGCTATTGGCTGTTCCCCAAGAGTACAGAACTGTAAGAGACGGTGAGTACTATAAACAGAATTCGTTTTTTTCTGATGAAGGTTTGAGAATCTCTGTAAATCTTTATGTTGATGATTTTGAGATTTGTAACCCTCTTGGGTCATCTCGAAAGACACACAAACTTTGTGGTGTATATTGGGTTTTGGGTAATTTGCCACCAGGTTCCCATTCAACACTAAACTCAATCTATTTAGCTGTTCTATGCAAATCTGATGATGTTAAGACCTATGGCTATGGAAAAGTGTTGGAGCCTCTCTTGCAAGACTTAAGCATATTAGAACAGCACGGTGTATTTATATCTCAGCTTGGTCAGTTTGTTAAAGGTTCTGTCCAGTGTGTTATAGCTGACAATCTTGGAGCCCATGGGCTCGGGGGATTTGTTGAGAGTTTTTCAGCTGGGTCAGGGTGCAGGTTTTGTATTGGAGTCAAATCAGATTTTCAGACTAAGGATGTCCAGTCAGGTGCTTTCCAACTGAGAACAAGAGACATCCATGATGTTCATGTCCAGTCTGCTCAGGAGAATGCAACTATTTGCTGTGGTGTAAAAAAGCAGTGTTTTTAACAGAGCACCTTTCCCATTTTCATGTAACTACTGGTTATCCTCCTGACATTGTGCACGACCTTTTTGAAGGTGTTGTACCAGTTGAACTGGCTCGTTGTATGAGTTTGTTGATCTCCAAAAAATACTTCACTTTTGAAAGGCTCAACACATTGATTCAGACATTTCCGTACAAATGGGGGGACAGAACCAATCGCCCCCATGCCATACCACGCTCTTTCACATCTAGAAACACAATAGGTGGCAATGCGCATGAAAACTGGACCTTAATAAGACTGCTTCCCTTTGTGATTGGGCACATTTTACCAGAAGATGAACCAGCGTGGCAGCTAATTCTAGATCTTAAGGACATAGTTGAGTTGGTTGTGGCCCCTGTTCACACAGATGAGACCATTGCTTATCTTGAAGCCAAGATCTATGATCATAGGCAGCGCTATCTTGAACTCTTTCCACATGTAAAGCTCTTACCAAAACATCACTTTTTAGAGCACTATCCGCAAATGATTCGTTGCTTCGGGCCTCTAATTGTACTGTGGACAATGAGATTTGAGGCTAAACATAGCTTCTTCAAGCAGGTTGCTCGTCACACCAATTGCTTTAAGAACATACCTCGTTCACTAGCTACTAAACACCAGTTCATGCTTGCCTATCACACACATTCCTCCAGTGTCAAGAAGTCATCCTTGGAGGTCACACATGTCTCAATCCTGCCTGTTGATGTCCTTAATGAGGGAGTCGTGTCTAGAAACAAAGTTTCCCAGATGTGACTGAGGTTCATATGGCAAACAATGTGTCTAGCTTGGGTATACGTTACTGCGAGGGGATGATTATTGTACACGGATCTGCAGATGGACTGCCTAAATTCCATGAGATCAAAATTGCATTTTGTTAAGGAGAAGTTGTGTTTTCTGGTAAAAGACGCATGTGCTTGGTACAGAGAGCATTATGGTGCTTTTGAGCTGTCTGCCTCGCCCATACAGAGGTTGCCGTTATTGAGCTTGCTGACTTGGTAGACCCCTATCCCCTTGTTGACTACATGGTTGGGAGTTTGCGCATGGTAATGTTGAAAAGATTCATCATTGTTAAAGTGAGTATCATTTTTAAACCTAAATAGTCTGAGCTCTGGATAGCAGGCTCTGACAAAAACTGTAAAACCATTTTTATGTTCATCTTTGATATAATCCTAATGTGTT